ATTAAAATGCAAAATGGAGAAATAATAGATGATGTGCCTCCAATTACAAAAACAAAAACAGTGATCAACCAAAAAACTAAAACAAACCATCTCAGCTTCTGCAGGCCTTTCGATTTAATCCTATTTGCAATATCCTTCGGTGTTCCTCGTTCATGCTTCCCCATGTCCTACAAATGAGATACCTAAAGCAAAAATTTAGAACGAATGAAGCCTCGCTCATCACTGAAACTTCAAAAGTGAAGTCGCCAAGCCTCGAAAGAGACAGTTTTGATCGCAATTCACGCTAGACTTTGCTGTAAATCAAACGAGCAGGAAAGCGGCAAAGGAACAACTGAAGCAATATTTACACGGCTCTATAAGGAATTCATTTTGCGAAAATGTTGGAAGAAGCAATGTGACGTCATTTTTTTTCAAAGCCGTGTAATTGCAGACGCTACGCAGTCACCGTAATCTGACGCCTAATTTTTTGGTGTGGAGGTTACGACAGAAAACGGGTGTTCGACACTAAAATGACTAAAAATGTTGGGTATAATTCAGCGGTAGGGGCATTTTAGTGCTGGTTGTGCTCACGGTTTTCTCAGAAAAGACAACATTTCCGTCCGTTCTAAAAGAGTATCTTACTGATGTCGCGAGGGGGGTTGTTTACGAGCGCTGCGACCAAGGACCGAATTTGTAAGTAACAAGGCAGAGCAAAAGAGTAGAGGCTTCAAATATCACTGCGGTTTTGAAGCCACAGAGAAACGCAGTCTTGCCGGTCCCACGATACTTCGAGCTATCAATATAATACTGAAAGATTTTGGGGTTTTTTAAAGGTGTTGTGCTTTGCACCAAATCCCTCCACCCACCCCCTCCTACTGCGCTTCTATCCATGGATGCCAGATTGGATCTTCTGGAGCTGCCGTTTGGTACACTGAAATTTTAATTCCTTCAGTCGACCCCACTAGCAAGAGAACGGCGTCATGGCGCATCCCAGCAGAATGCGTGAAGGTTTAGATGGGTACGAAGTTCACGGAAGCGCTCAGGGCCCACAGAGTAGAAGACAGAATCCGAGGTGCGTAAACAATTCCCATTCTCTACAAATTCACGCCTCTCTGTTAGGCTTAATCCTAGTGGCCCGCCTATGGATTCCCCCACCCCCCCCCTCCCTCCCCTGGAGGCACATGGCGCCTGCTGTTTTTGAGCGAAAGGTGGCCATTTTTATCCGATTTTCCAGCACTTTTCCGGCACAATCAGGGCAGGATGCTATCCAGTTAGGCCTGCTCAAAAAGTCACCGTCTCCATTTAGTACCCTTAGAATCGTCTACAAGCTTTTCAGTCCCGCGACTGTTCATGGCGCACCATTTGCAACATAGGCCAAGGCTCTACCGTATACCTTCGCAATCGTTTCCAAGCCTTCCCCGGCCCATAGCGTATGTATGGCGCATCGGAAATAATCCCGTCTGGTTAAGACTAACGGAGACGAAAACCGGAATCCCATTTTTTGATTCACTAGCCTGATAATCCCGGGAAGCTCAAGCCGAAGGTGCAATTGGTTTCAGCGCTTATTTAGTGCGGGGGGGGGGACGTTGAAACAGGCTGATTGTTAAGTGAAATGGCCACCAGGGAAGGAGAAAGCCGGAGGAAACAATGTACATGATTCCTCAAATGTTTCCTTTCGTTAGTCCCAAGTTGGTAGGTCTACTACTGCAATGATCACCTCCCACGAATGAGGTCCGAATTCTAATGCATTATATATGATTTCGCATTCAGCTTAGAACCGTACCAGTCTTGCCGATTTTTAGATGCGCAATCGAACGAGACCGCAAAAACTTTATGTGAGAAGGCGTAGAGGTACTCCACCCCGTAAGAGGATTAAGACCAGTGTTGTGCCTTCCCATTCGCATTTCGTCAGATTAAGTTATGGTCATGTAAGGTTCGTTGCGGTTTCAAATTTAGCCCCTCTTTCTAGAGAGGTCGATAGTGCCACCCTAACGTGCCGTAACATACTAGATAGAGCCCAACATGCAACTTGCTCATAGCTACGTCGTGGCCTTGATAGCCCTTTAATTATCCCCTCGCATGTTATCTTGAAGATTCTCGCAGCAATTTGAGTCGCATACATACCCCCCAACCCCATGTGCCCGAAAACACCCCTCGCGACTTTGATTTGACATATCCTATCCCTGTCTTCAGTGTGTTTCCTAAAATTACGAGGCGATAGATTGAACAGAGATTGATCGAAGAAACGAAATTCGGAGAAGGAACGGCCTTCAAGTCGTGAATGCTTGTGAGGGTAAGACTTGAAAGGTGGCGCTGATATGCTCAAGTGCAAGCTACCACTGACCACCATTCGTGCTCGATAATCCAAAAGTGGTGACGATTCCATCTGAAGTAATTTTTATCATCGATTACACCCCTGTCACTTGGATAGAAACTTTTTCTTAATATTCGATTCTAATTTGTTCTCTTCAGTCTTCTTTTGTGTATACCCGTACACAGGTTTATCAATGAGGACGTTTTGACGATCAATTCGGCGTAGGATTTATTCGCATAATTATACAACAGGGTATCCGAGGAAGGATTTACTTATGTTTTCCAAAGACAAAATTCGAAGTTTTCTCTTTCTGGTTAGTTAGGTTACACTTTAGCCTAGAGGGAATGTCGTGACTCTCGTACGACCTCTACGCGCAGTGTCCGTCGTCACGTCTCATTTGTCAAGCTACACGCGCAAGTGTCAGAAGATGTTTAAAGGTCGGGTCGTCAGAGTTCCGCATTGGGTCCTATCGCGCATATGTCGAGTACGCAGCAGTTCCCGCCAATTCTGGTTCTGGAAGTTCCCGCTCATTCCAGCGTCAGTCGTCTCCGCGTACCGTCTCGCGGTCGTCTCACGTGTGTTCCTGTGTTGTTGGCCAGTGTCTTTCTCAACCGCATGCCGATCCTGTATTCCTACTCTCTTCGTTCGAGCGCATAGCCCTTATTGCGCAGTCGGCTGAGGATTCCCGCAGCACCCGTTCTGGTGTGAAGGCGCAGTTGTCCGTCCCCCGGACAACCCTTGGTGCGCGAATGGTATGGAACACGAGGACGCCAAGCCCCGATGGCCAGGATGGAGTGCGCAGGAACCCTCGTCCCTCTACGGACAGTGCCCGGACGTGCCGAACGCCCCCCGGCTAACACTGTCGCGCAAGGACGAGGGGGCTCGTGGTATCGGCGACCCCTAATGAGGCGAGGACACCATCCCGTAGGTTTAGTAGTCTTAAGTTCGCATATTGTGTAATAGGCATAAAGCCACCTTTTACTATTTGTGTTCTGTTATGTACGAAGTAACGCGCAGAAAGTGAAGCGCATTCTTTAAATACTTTATTCACTTTCTTTCACAAGTGCGGTTTCTTAGAAAATCAATATCTGTTGACCGCAATTACTAACAATGTCAATATCAATATAACATGGTCATGGTAAGCGGGAGGTTAGTAGCGCAGGTGACAGGCAACATCTTGGGAAGTGCAGGATGGGGTCAAGCGCTCTGCCGTCATCAGTAAGCCAGTGGACTTCAAGGAGGACAAACAAGGGCAGGAGGAATGAGGACCGCAAGCGTGGCAGCAAGAGGCGCGTGTCTCGCACATCTCTAAATCACGCACGGTAGCAAGCGTCGTAGTCTTCTTGCCAGCTGCCGCCGCGTCGCGAGTAGCACTGCCACACGAAATTAGATGCCTAGATTTCGGCGCGAATGTTTTTATTACTCAATGCTATGAGTAGCTTCGAGCAGCCTTCTCCTTCCAAACTCTGCTTCCAACCCACCCTTGCACTCGCCAGCCACAATAGGAGAAAAATTCCTTCAAACTTAAAATAATATTCAGGGCTGAAAGGGTCAAAGATGAACAGTAGGTCCGCGTGAATAAAGAAGAAATACCGAAATCATAGAAAAATAAGGCCTTTCTTTTTCTGAGCAGTAAAAATTCTTCACTTGGCACTTCATCCAGTACAAAAACGTGGACGGATGCCAGTTCGATTAGAGGCGGTAGCTTTGCTGCGCTTGCGACTTGAGCTCAAGCAGCCAAGTGCAAAAATTTCAATCAAAAAATTTAACCTACTCAACGCTCCATAAGTACGTGAAGAGTTTGTTAGACAAAATAGAAAACAAGACTAGCAGTAAGTGAGAAAATAAAAAACCCCGCGTTTTTACCAAAAAAATTAATCGTAAAAATTTATAATGCCTAGTGAACCTTCTCGATGGGCGGCGTTTCTTTCCCACTCTTCGAAATCCTTGGCAGCCAATCATAAACAAGTTGCAGTGAACTTTTCATACAATTGAACTTCACAAAACAATGACAGGCTATGAGCACTAAACACCAATAGACTAGTGAAAAACAGCTCAAATAAGACCCAGTAGTACAAATACAAAACAGTACGATATAGAAGAGAAGCATGGCCCAAAAGTGACTTAGAAGGCTAAAGTATGGAATAAACACGCTGAAGAGTGAGGCGCCACGAATAAAAAGCACTAGAATCGATTGAAAAGCTAAAGCAATACGTGTTCACCAGGAAAGATAACAAAAAAGAAAGAGTTGCCTTTACTGAGCAAACCAGGATCTTTACCAAGTCCTGGACAAAGTCAAATTGGGGTCGAACGGAAGGAAGAGACGCAGAGGATGTGAAACGGTCCAGCACGAAATTGTTCAAGTAATTACAAAGGACCTTCCTTATGGGCCTTCCCGCCTTTCCACGCTTCGAATTTATGAAACCAAATGCATATTCGGGAGCAGCGAGTTCACATCATTCACCCACAAATTGGCGCATTCCGAGTGATATGTTTGACCACCAAAGTAGACTGCTCGAGACACCGGCTGGCAGCAGATCGCACAAGGTCTAAACGTATGGAGAATCTGATTGAATTAACAATCAAACGTCTAAAGAAACATACTCATACGGCTAGGAATAGAAAACGGCATTCAAGACAGCGAAATGTGAAAAGGAAGAGAAAATCATTTCTACTGGAGGCGACCAAAAACGAAGCAGTAAAGAGTCGACCCGTCCCCCCTCTCCGGTTTTTGGTACTAGACAGACGCCAAGAATGGCCCTTATCTGCTTATAATTCTTTTCGGAAAACAGCTTGAATAACTCTAGGGTGGCAATGGCGCCCGTAGGCGCAGTTAGCGCAGAGCAACCACCCGCAGACTCTGCCCAACACTTTGGACAGCCACTGACTAGGAGAGTGTCCTGTCTGCCACGTCTATCTTATCCACAATTATGTAAAACAACGTGAACACACGTTTTAAAATTTTACTCAGCTGGGCACCCTATTTCCGATGACTTTTTCCCAGCACTCCAGCAATTCTGTACTGATCGCATGGGTTACTTGAGCGCAGCCGTTGATTTCCGATGCTGTCGAGCAGGCCATCGAGAAACTGCTTCGCTGTCGACACTGAAGACAAACAAAAAAATACAACCTAGTAACAAATGGCTAGAGAAGAGACTAACAAATATAGCAAAACTCTCACCATCTTCATCACTTCTCGACGAGCCGGTTGTTGGAGAGTTCAAGTCACGCGAAGCTGTGGCGGCTTGCGTGGGAGCCATTGAAGACCAATCAATGCTGCATAAATCATTCATCGCTGAGTTCGAATTAGCATTGAAACCGTTTGTGACCGAGTTTGTAGTAACATGACTCTGGTGCCCTGACTTTGATGGACCTGCAATGGCTATACTTGATCAATGCTTCTGATGCGGGCTCTACGACTCTCTATGGGAAACCTGGTATAGGGGGTGGAAGGACCGGTGATGTCATTCCTCCTTCGTCTTGGCCTGCCGATTTCGTCGTTTGTGGTAGAGCTTCTCCCATCAAATCCACCTCCTTCTTTTTCGCATGGCTGCGTCTCCCCATCAGCAGGGAAGTAGGAATAAACGATGAACCCTGGCGCTGTTCCTTAGGTGGAGGAGCTCTAAAAATTTACTGACTGCAATCTTGAACAGGTTCGAAATTTGGGTGTAGGTCAGGAGGTTCACTCTATGGCGAGGCGGCAGAAGCGGCTGCACGATATATGCACTACGGTCTGCGGCGATGACGAGTTCACACGCCGTCGTGCGCTGAGCCTGGGTTTCTGCGCGGCGTCGCATCGTGGATCTCCTGACCGACACCCCTGAAAACCCACGAAGAAAAGAACAAGAGGAATCAAAGAATCACTCACGTAGGCTTCGCTACATTGACCACAGGGGCGGCCAGCGGTTGGTTTAGAGGCACTTGCACAGACTGGAGAAATGGAATGGGAAGTGAAGACATTGTCGATAAAGCTGCCAAGGATTCGCCCTTCTTAAACAGAAAAATCCACATATAAAACTCACAAAACGCCCCAAACCTTCAGAATTCGAGACTGAAGAGGGAAAAAGACAACGATCAAGCAGACCTGCGCTAAAGCAATGAGTGCCAAACAGGAAAAGAATTCCGGACGAGTCAGCTGACCAGGAAGTGTTCGATTCACCGCTGACCATATGTAGGAAAGGACTGGTCTTGGTAAACCCGACGTTACCATCAAATTGTACACTGAAAGGTAATGAAGAGCAATATCTTGCTTACAAAACTCCTTTTCTTGTTTTACACTGAAAATTTCTCGAGAATACTGAACTAATGTACCTAAAGCAGTATGTGGAAGCATATTTTGTTGTGTGGCGCCACAGGCAGCTATGGCATCGCGATAGAACCGTGGCACTCGGGCTTCATCGAGTAGCACTGGCGGGACAACACCACCACCGCCACTCATCATTCCTAAAGCAATGCAGTAATGCAAATGATGTTTAAAAATTCAGCTAAGAGTATTCTTTCTGGCGAGGATGTTTACATCTATCCAGCATCTAAAAGGAAATTTGCATGATTGGATGAATGATGGATACCTGACGGCGAAGTGACTGAAAAGGGAATCAATCAAGCAGGAACCCAACAACTTGGGTGTGGTTCGCTAAGACAGGTAGCGACTTTCCGCTCTTCGCAACGCGAAAATTTTTTTCGCTGCGAGAACCGCAGACCCACCACTGATCAGAACTGGACCTAAGGTTCTTGAAGCGAAAAAGCTCCGCGCGCGGAAAGCGGAAAGTCGGTTCCTTTCCAAGCA